ACTCAGGTCAACAATTTCTGGCATTGCCAGTGAAGCAGAAGACCCAGTACTATTATGGACTACCGGACTCTTAGGCTATTTTTGCTGAGTTAACACACTTATAATATTCAAATGACGGAACTACAGATGAATGTCCATTTTGTATCCATGTATTCAAAGTGGTTAGGTTAGATATACAGTTACATTCTCTTAATGGAGGGATTTGTTGTAATAGTGTTTGTAAATAGGAAATCATGTCTGCATCTTGTACAGCAAATAACCACTAGGAAGAGAGTATGCAATATGTTAATTATTGAAACTGCCCTACCAATTTGATTTGAAACTGTCTCATTGCTATTTGTCTGTCAATAAAATTATGGGGAAAAACAACAACAGTCCCCTCGGGGGAGATACCTGGAATTAAACCCAGGACCTGTGCTTGCCAGCAGGCGCTGTGCCACTGAGCTACAGCCTCAGCCCCCTCTGTTTATGAAAATGGCGAGGTGATAGTGCATTTATCCCCTTGCTCTGTCGTGGCTGACACACAGGAAGCCGGCCCTTGCCTTTGAGTTGTACACTTCGTGATGCTTTCAGAAAAGCACTGAAAGGCAACAGAAATGGGGGAACCTGGGCTCCTTGGCCCGTGCTTACTTATTTACTTTGGCAGCGGCACACTTTGCAAAGTTCCTGGTCATTAGCTGTTCTTCTTCCATGGAGGAAAATCATGTCTTCAGTGGAGATGCGGCACAAAGAGCAGAGGAGGAAAAGAACTTTTTGCCACTTCCTGGAAGGACTCATCCATTCGACAGACTTTCACAGTGTCCCAGGCGCCTTCCCAGCCCTGGGCATGCGGCAGTAAAGGCAGGTGCGGCCTCCACCTGCTGGTTCACACTCGAGGCTGGCATCCTCAAGCCCACAGTGCTGCCGGGGCCCTCGCAGTTACAGGCAGGCCCCGGGAGAAGCAGGCCCTGTCAGGCTGGTTCTGCAGCCACACGGGGGCGCTGCTCACTCATGAGGGCAAGCAGGCTGGGCCGCGTGCTGATGCTTTTCTGGGGCAGGGAAGTAGCGCAGAGCTCACACGCAGCCGCAGCCGCAGCCGCAGCCCGGCCCTGTGGCGTCTGTGCCTGCCACAGTCTGCCTTCCCTGGGCCTCCATGCTGGGCTGTGGTTTGCACAGGATTGAGGAGGACAAGCCTTGGTGACCAAGCCACTCCTGACCAGGCCATGCATGTCACAGCCGGGGTCTGGCATCCCCCACCCGTCGAAGGACAAGCACCCTGCGTAGGGACAGGTGGGAGCTTTGGATGGGCAAAAACACTGCTCAGCTATTAGCAGGGTTTTGTTTGGGGTTTTGGTTTGGTTTGGCACTTGGTACTGGACAATGAACTCAGGACCATGTACTTGCCAGGCAGGTGCTTGTGCTGCTGAGCTTCATCCCTGTGGGTGAGGGGAGAAACTACTTGAAATCAACAAAGGGCTCTGCAAAGATAATGTACATCCTGGGCCTGGTGGCACACCTGGAACTCCAGCACCCTGCAGGAGGCCGAAGCAGGAGCGCTGTAATTGCAAGCCCAGACTGGGCAACTGAGAGACTAGAGAGATTCTGTCTCTCAACCAAAGATTTAAAAAGCACTGAGGATGTAGCTCAGTGCAAAGGCCCTGGCTGCAGGTAGCAGAGGAGTGAGAAAGACTGAGCATCCCTCTCCTCGTCCGGGAGTTCCAGGATGCCACTTGCAGAGGGGCAGCCTGCTGGCCTTAAAGATGCGTCTCAGGCACAGAAGAGCAAACTGCATGCATCCAGCGGACACAGCTGAGGGCCGCTGAGGACAGGACCGCCTGCTTCTGTGTGCACGTTGATGGCTCCACTCCTCCCAGCCTCCCGTGTCTAATACTCTGCCTTCTCCTTCGCTCCAACCCCAACACCTTCTGAACACCCACCTTCATGGACGAGTTGGGTAAAAGTGTGTAAGAGACACAGTTTTGCCTTCGTTTGGAAGTTATCTCTGAGCAACTGCCGTGTGCAGGGCTCCTGCTGGGTCTCTAGCGCCAGCATCAAGGGTCTTCTCCTTTCGGGAAGGGAAGAGGCAGATCTGGCTCTGGAACAGCAGCCAGGGCCTGTGGGGTCGGCTTCTGCCAGCTCACGCTCTCGTGCCTGAGATGGCCCTGAGTATGCACTGCTGCAGGCGCGACGGCCCTCGCCTGACATCCCTCCCACCCCCAAGTCAGCTGCAGGGGTGACTCGGCCTCAGAAAGGCCCGCCCCGGGTTCCTTACTGCCCCTCCTCCTGCCACCCACCTCACTCACTCCTGCTTGCTGTTTCTGTGCAGGCTCCTGGCATCTGTTCCACTTGCTGCTTTTGGAATATGTGACTCACGTATTTCAGTCATGCCTGGAGGAAGAGGAAGAAGAGGAGGACGTGGGGAACCTCAGGGTGGCGCTGCCAGATGACCGGTCTCTCGCCCCCCCACCCCAGGCCCTCGCCTACCCTCTGGATCCCTTGCTCCATCCAGGCACCGGCCAGCTGCGGGTGACACTGGAATCCAGGAGCCACAGCCTCGGTCCGGTGGATGTGAGCAGCGTGGTCCTCTGGGTCCTCGGCTTCCTGGTGGACAATGCCACGGGCAATAAGGTAGAAACCAGGACATACACACATACTCCACAGGGGCGTTTCCAGGGAGACGAAAGCCACACGCCGGTCAGGAGCACAGGGAAGACCCTGACACCCTCGTTGCTCACACTCACTTTGCTGGGGAGGTTACAACAGCTTACCTGCAGGTCCCAGGCCAGCGCCTGTATAATGCAGCAACAGGGGACGCGGTTAGGAGTCTGGAATCCAGATGGCAGGTCGTGCCTTCCCAGACCACTTGTCCAGTCCTAGCATGCAGCTAAGCGCTAACCTGAGTTCTGCACTGCAGATGCTGCTGGAACTCAGAGAAAAGGAGCACTGACTAGAAGGCATTTGGCAACTGTTGAACTGGGGCAGATCTTAAAGGATAAAAGTAATGGTGGCTGTTGATCTAGCACCCGTCCTCCACCACTCCCCCACAGCTGTGACCTTGGAGGTGCAGGAGCCCGTAGAATACCTTATCACTGCGGAGGGTTGGCTGAGCAAATGGGGCTCCGAGAAGCACAGGGGTTCGCTCAACCAAGAGCAGGAAACACGAGGCAGTGGTGGACCCGAGCCCGGAGCCTCTGCTGCTGGTCTCAAGCCCCCTCTCTCACCACAGGCAGGTCAGTGGAGCCCCACGCACAGCAGGAAGCAGGTGGGAACTGCAAAGATAAGCACTCCAATGTCTGCTAAAAGAGCATCTGACACAGGAAGCAAATGAAACTCCTCCACTGGGAGTGGGGTGGGGTGGATTTTTTTTTTTTTTAATGGAGTGGTTGCACACACCTGTAATGCCAGCATACAAGAGGCTGAGGCAGGAAGGTCACTGTGAGTTCAAGGCCGCCAGCCTGGACTACACAGAGGAGACTCAGTAGGATAAGTCACAGCTCAAAACTGCTCCCACTTGCCAGGGTCCCCTGCTTCCTAAACAAGCCTGCCTCTGGGCTTGCCAGTGAGGACATCCTGCCCACACTGCGACTGAGTGCTGCTCAGGGGAGAAAGCCTTCCAGACACGCTCTAGCGGAGTGGAATGGAGCTGAGGAGATGAGTCTCATGGATTCGCAAGCTCCCTTCTGTCCGTCTCCATTTGGTCTCTGAGTTTCCACTTTGGGAGAGAAAATTCATCTGTCCAGCTGCATTTGATGTCCTCTGTGCAACAGATCCAGAGGTTACCAGAATGACTGGCTGCTTGCCGCTCAAAAGCCAACATTTAGGAGGTGACAGCTGGTCAGAAGCAAGGAGAGCTACTCAAGGGCCAGTGTCTTGGAGGCTGTGTTCTGAGAGCAAGTCAAGCTTTTACAAGGCAGGAGGGAGGAGGCAGCCCGCCGCGCCCAGAGCCAGGTCTCCCCCACCCAGGCACGCATCTCCTTCCTTCTCTTCAGAGCATGGCACTGGATGGACAGACACCCTGTGTTTATGCAAGTGAACCCTCACAGAAGTGCACAGGCTCTGTGTTAGTGGGTGACAGAACTAAAGACCAGGAAGGGGCCTCGCGAAGGGCCCCAGGTTCTGGACGCTAGCTTCTGTAACTCTAAAGATCACTGAACACCCTGATTGCTGAGGCGGGGCTTCTCTGTGGAGTTTAGAATACCAGGCGATGGGGGTGGGGTGCGAAGGAATTGGGGGGCAGCAACTAGGAAGCAGGGCTCAGGGAGTGGCACTGCCAGCGCCTCAGTGCGTCTGGAAAGGAGCTCTTGTCTCCAGGAGCCGGTAAAGCATATGTGATCAGGAAACGTGAAATGGGGACATCCTGGCCCCGAATCAGGGAAAATGAATCAGTGACACAGGTTAAGGCACGGGAGGAAGATGGTACTCAGACCCTGTATGGTAGATCAGGGGCCACAGCAGGGCGGTGGGGGCGGACAGCCGGGGCCAAGGTGGGGCTAGGAACTAGGAGACCCCTGGGGGTAGAGATCTGGTTCTGGCTAAGCTGACCTGGCAGGAGTCTCCTGGAGGACAAGGCAGTGGTCCCCAGGGAGGTGGAGGACGAGGAGTCTGCTCATCTGCTTGCCATTTGGGACAATCAGATATCAGGGGTGCGAGGATCTTGCTCAGCTGGCTTAGCAGGGCGCGTTGCTAAAAGAAGATTTTAAAGAAGTGCACTCATGCCTAGGGAAGGTTCCGCAGTCCACCAAATTTGGCCAAGTAGAGAGTCTTGGTCAATTTTACACATTCCTCAGTCAGTGAGGTGACCTGGAGTTGGCTTTTTTTTTTTTTTTTTTTTTTTTTTTTTTTTGTTCCTCGAATGCCTTCAGGGCACTTTTGGCCAGCGGGAGAGTTGTGAGGTTAGAACTCCAGCAACCTGAGGCTGACAGCTTTGTGGAAGCAGCCACTTAAAGGAATGAGCTAGGGCCAGGCCCCCTGGAGTTGGCTTTTACCCCCTCAGCCACAGGGGTGCAGGGGTGGAGAGAGGCTCCAACTCTCAGTGGGCCAGGCCTCTAGGCAGCGTAGCACCCCCATCCTCAGACCTATTTCACAGATGGCATAACTGAGGCTCTCAGAGTAGTTGAACACTTTTCCCAAGGTGCCCTCATTCTCCCACAGAACTCCCTCCTGGCATCCTCTCTCCCCTGAGAGTGCTGTGCTGAGGGCTTAATCCCAAAATCAGTGACTTGGAGTTAGCTGAGCAGGCAGTTCTCACATAAATTCCTGGGGTCAAATGCCACCTCTTCTATCTATTGGCTGAGAACCATGGGAAGTTGCTTAATTCAAAGGGATAATATGGGGTTCCATAGGAGCAAATAAACTGATCATTGTAAAATGCTTAGAAACTCTTTAGAATGTAGTGGGCATGTGACAGCCACTCATAATTGATAGTTCTCCAAGGAACTCTCACCCCCACCCCCATCACCTCTCCTTATCACACTCCACCCAGCCCCCGGCTCCTCTGAAGTTCATTACAGTGGGGTCTGAGCTAGACTTAATTGGTAGAAACAAGACACTAAATACTAAATACTTAATGGAACTACATGCAAAAGCGATACAAGCGATACAAGCGTATGACTGACGGATAATCCAAGGTAATGTGCAGGAAAGATTAATTAAATCCACTCTGTTCCTTCAGGCCTGCTGGATTAGCTGTAATGACTTGGGCCGCCACCCAAAGGCTCTGCGCTCTAACTCTCATTGCCTGCCTTATTTGCATTTGCGCTTATCAGCAATAGAAAGCCCCCCCTGCACCCCATCTGCGCCCATCTGCTGAGTTAACGCCCCGTGCACTGCAATCTGCCACGGCTCTTCCCTGAGCAGTTAGCGCTGCCCCACACCTAGGTGACAGCTGCAGTCAGCGTTCAGGTCTGTTGGTGCCACATCCATCACCCTGGCGACATTCAAAGCAGGAGGATGCCAAGGCATACTTAAGACCAATGTAAAAAAAATTAATGATATTAAATATAGGATAGTCCTTTGAAAGAACAAAAGTACAGGTACTTGGGATTAAAGCAAAATATATTTATTAAGGAAGAGAAAGAGACAAAGAAAAAAGAGGGAGAAAGACAGACAGACAGGCAAACACTCCAGCCCTGGGTAAAAGTGAATATAATTTTCTGAAAAAGAAGAAAAATATATTTTCATTGACTGGTGATGTCATTGTTGAAACTGGAGTAGGAAAACCACATTTTGGTGAATCTTGATACCAGTGTTACGTTGTGAGAATCTTTGCCAAAATATATCAGTTTATGGAGGACTGACTGATGAAACCAGACCAAGAAAATACATTTCTATTGGTTTTAAAGTTCCCGCAAACAAGGATTTCCAGTTCTTCTCATCCCACAGCCAGGGCAGGGCCGCAGATTGTCAGGTTAAGTGAGAAGCAGCAGGAAGCCGACCAGAAGCTGTGGGTGTGGAATCTGTCACTTCCTAAGTGAGCATCGCTCAGGTCAGCGGGCGCTGCTGGCTGCGGTATACCCCTGCCTACGTGGAGCATGACAGTCTCCGTGGCCATGTGGTGTGGAGAGACCCATGTCAGCTCCGGGGACCCGTGAGAAAGCAGGGCTCAGGGTTCGCATGGGGAGGCGGCCACGGTGGCAGTTGCCTCGGTCACATGAGACCCATGGCCGCCTCCCTAGGCTCCCCAGAAGCGCACAGCTGCCCCCTGCTCTCCATAGCTGCTGCAGGCAGCCCACTCCTCTCCTCTCCCTGCTGCTGCCCCACCTTGGAGCCACAGCACCCTGTGGCATCCCCTCCAAACCTGGAGGGTTCACTGGGCAGAGCAGCTCCCCAGCAGGGACACAGGTGGGGACAAGGACATGTAGATGAGCTCAAGTGACAGTTTCTGGAGCTTTCTCTCATTGTTTCCTTTTAAACATTTCTCCCATGCAGCACATCCAAGTCTTGCTGGAGGATAAGGCCACCCAGAGCGCCGTGAGACTCAGCCTCCCAGCGGGAGAAGAAGCCCTCGTCAGCCTGAAAGACGGGCGCAGATTTGCGATTCACATTGTCGACATACCCTAAGGCTCGGGGAAAGCAATGTTAATAGGAAAATAGTTTAAATGAACAAGACAGAAGGAAACAGCTAGGCTTGCCTTCTTAAAAATGTATTAAATCCTAAAGCTTTTATATTGCTATGGAAAAAGATTTTATGTATATATTAGAGGTAGCATTTTATGTTCATATGTATTTCAAAGAGTTGGTCTGTATCAAATTATAAGCTAATTTGGAGAATAACTTTGTCTCAGTTGCTTTTCTTCTGCACCTTTCCAAGTGTTTTTATTTGGGGATCTAGCTGAAGAGAAATTTGAGGAATTTTGTTGGGAATAAAAATGGTTAAATCTCCAGAGAAAATACTTGAAGAACACAAGCTAGTACAAATGGTCAAATACCAATGGAAATATTTTTCTTCTCTGATAATGACCCAATTGAAACAAAATTTGTAGAAAGATCTCCTCGGGCAGTGAGGCACAGAAAAAATTCAATCCAATACCCCTGTTGTTCTCGTTCATGGGTACATTAATCACCTTGGTTCACCGCCCTGACTTTCTTAAAGGGGGGTAAAATTCTGAAGGCAAAAATGCCCACAATGACTGCAGATGTCCTGCTTCAAGGTCCCCTTTTATTTCTCTCTTTGAAGCAAAATCCTAAAAATGTTGGCTCAAGAACAAATCGTGGTTATACCAGATCCATTTTTATGTAACTGATTATGACATTTAAAAGGAATTTAAAGACGCATGCTTTGTATGATTTCTGGCATAAATGAAAAGAACAGAACATTTTATTGAGCTCATATTACATATGAAACACGCGTTCTCATATGAAATGAATTAGATTTACCTGCAGAATCAGTTTATTTATTTATTTATTCTGGGGGGGTTGGTGTTTGTTTGTTTGTTTGTTTTTTGTATTTTAGGGAAGGGTCTACAGGGTGTTCAGGATCTCACTAGTAGATCAGACTCCTAATGATCTGCCAGTTTACAGCCTCCCAAGAGCTGGGATTACAGGCGTGCACTACCCCACCCAATCTCAATTGGCCTCTGGGCGTCCGCCAGGAGTGGGGCCAGCAAGGCAAGCTGGAGATTGAACCTCAGTCCCTGACTCTGCCTAAGCGGGCGCTTTAATCCCCTGAGCTATTTGGCTGGCCCTCACAGAATCAATTTAATTTCCCTAAATGTTTAGAAATTTTAAGGCAGCACAGGAATTGTGTGCCTGAAGATTCGTTACCAGTTATTCCTCTTTCTGGTTAAGGAAGTAGCGATGCATGAGCGCCCTTTAGGACTCCACCTCGGAGGCTCTCCCTCGGCTCTGCCCTCCGGAAGGAGCAGTTCCTGGTCACCGGGCGCTGGGCGCTTCCTGGTGATCTGCGCCTTGCTCTGAATTACGTTCCTTTACACAGAGGAAGCAGCCGGTCCGTGGCCTGAGTTGGAACAACAGCAACAACAGATTTATACGTCTGGGAACAGTGCGTTTCGTTTGCGTGTTGGGGTAAGCTGATTGGGCAAGAGCTGGCAGAGGTCACCGTGGAGATGCCGTCCTCGATGCCCAGGTTTATCAAAGTGCGCGATTCCAGCCATTCCCCGTAGGGCTGGGTGTCAGGATGCGGGGTGGCAGTGGCAGTGAGGGGTTGGGAGGAGGGTCTGCAGTTGTGCCTCCCCCTCCCCCATTTTTCAAATGCTGGGGACAGAAGCCAGGGCCTCACACATGCTAGGCAAGCACTGGGAACTGCGCCAGTGGCCTCAACTGTTGTGGTTTTTATTGTATAGTTTCCTTGTAGATTGTCTCGGTCATCAGGCAAGCTGGCTGCTCTGTGGGAGGGCCTTGACCAGGTGCAGGTGGAGAGGAGAAGCATGACAGCTGGGGAAAGCAGAGGACCCCAGCCACACCAGTGCACCCCCGTGGTGAGCTCACCTCTGAGGTGAGCTGAGGCCTAGCAGGGAGCGAGGGTGCGGCCACAGCCCCACAGCCACGGCCCACCGTGGCCTCACGCCCTGTCGTGGCCCTCGCCAGAAGAGCTCTTGTTGTTCCTAAATGTCATAGAGTTTAACGTGTTGCAGTACACCAGCCGGACACCAACGCTAAGCAGAGGCCTTCTGTCATTTGTACACAAATAAGAACAGGAAATCTCCCAAACCTTCACCCCAAATCTTGAGCTTGAATTTTCATCTGAGAGGCAGAAATGCTGGGCCAAACAGGTAGTAAAGATTTTCTGCTTGCGCCAGCCATTGGTCGGCGGGGGTGACATTCAGAGATATATTTTGGTCATCTTTCTTTCCACATTACTGCGTACAACCCACTCAGGACCTGCACACTGCGCTGCACTCCCAGACCCTTTTTTATTTTCTATTTTGAGATAGTATCTTGCTAAATCGCTAAGGCTGGGCTTGAATTTGTGATGTGCCTCACCTGCCTCAGCCCAGCTCAGCCTCCTGGACTGCTGGGATTCCAGGTGCGTGCCACGCACCCAGCTTGGGTGGTTGTCACTGCAGCGCTACAACTCATCCCCCGTGGCCCAGAACACAGGCTCCAGCAAGTCCTCCTCTCCGCTCTGTGGGGCGACCTGTGCTGGACTTGGCGGCCCTGGACAGGTCTGCTCACCCCCATCCCACCCCCATGGCCTCTTTCTCATATGGACGATGTTCCCAGGACAGGAGTCTGTGTGTGTCCAGCTCAGAGCAGAGGTGCCCCTGGTGTGGACATGTCCAGCCACTGGAGGTGCCCCTGGTGTGGACATGTCCAGCCACTGGAGGTGACCCTGATGTGGACATGTCCAGCCACGGGAATTGCTCACCAGCCCACCCTACCCCACTCAAGATAATGTCCTCCCTGCCCCAGCTGTCCTGTAGGGAGACCTCTGTAGTGGCAACAACCTACTCCAGGCCATCGGGGCCACGGCCACCTCCCAGCTGCTTCTCAGTGATGCTCCTGCTGGGCTGTTCTACCTGCTGTGGAGCGGGGTGGGGAAGAGGCATCTTGGGTGCACATGGGAAACTGTACCTCCAAAACCAGCAGTGTGAACCGGGAATACCAACGGGGTCTTGTGTGATGGGACACTCCTAGGTCAACAATGCTGATTGTCTTTTTTTTTTTTTTTTTTTTTTTTTTTTTTGGCAGAACCGGGGATTGAACTCAGGCTCTTCCGCTTGCCAGGGAAGCGCTTATTCTACTGAGCCATCTCCCTGGCCCAACAATGCTGATTGTCAACATGTCACTTATAGCAACAGGGGTATGTCGCCTTTCTCCTAGGGTAAGAATAGCAACACCCGCATGGATTCCAGAACATAAATTTCACTCGTGATGATAAGTGCAAAGCCCACTCACACTCTGGCAGGAGACAAATTCTCCAGAAACAGACATTCCATCTGAAATATATAGCCCTGTGTGCCAAGAGGGGTTGTCACATATTTATTTTTCAGCCAGGTATGCTTTAAACACAGGGGTCGGCCAAGTGGAAATGCCCACTCTTTGGCGACTAAGGTTTCTCTCGGGGGGAGGCTGACACTGAATTCATCAAGGATCAAAAGCCAACTATCTCACAGCAGTCACAGTGTGGGTGACAGGAATGAGGAGGGAATGTGGCTTCCTAAGAGCATTCAAACCGAGCCTCACTGGTGGGAAATTTGGAAAGAGGTCTGAGGAAAGGCGGGGAGGTGTGAGGGCACAAGCAGGGCTGGGGGCTGTGCGCTGCGTTGGTGAGGACGTGAAGTCACTGTTCTCTGAGAACAGGACTGCTGGCCTCTTTGAACAGCTCCTCAGCTGGCACCACTCCAACCCTGTGAACATTTTCTTAAAGGCTCCAGTCACTGGGGTGGGAGCGTGGACACGGGCACACCGAGGCTGCAGCTCCCCCACCCCTGTGAATCTGAGCTTCCTTTTGGAGGCTGGCAGGGTGACAAGGGCCGAAGCTGCAGGTCAGGATCCCCAGTGTGGGGAGGCTAGATAGACCCATCATGGAATGACCCCAGGGCCGCACGCCAGGCAAGGGCGCCAGAGGGGAGCCTGTCCTTCTCCTCAGAGGAGCCAGAAAAGTGGCCGAGCTGCTGGGAACGGGAAGCTGTCCTGGGAAACTGACCAAGCGCTTGCCCTGCGCTATGGCTTTTTAAATTGATTTTTCTTGAGATATATGTTACATAAAACCTCTCATTTAACATGCCTAGTCTGTGGCTCTTAGAACTATGGAATCATCACCATGGTCTAAATTGAAAATATTTTCATAACCAGAAAAAAACCCAAAAGCCACTGGCAGCTGTGCCACCCCGGCTCTCTGTCCCTGAGAAGTGTTCCTGTTAGTGACCACTCCCCACTGGGCGGGCGAATGCCACCTTTTATTGTCCTTCATCGCTTCGCAGACTTTTAGGTGGCTTCCACCTCTTGGGGATTGTGCATGGTACACATTGTTGCAGGGACCTGTGTTTTCTTTTTCTTGGGTTACTGTCTAGCAGTAAAATTTCTGCCTCCTGCATTAAACCTAGCTTTAGAGGAAAGCTCAATTTCCTTCTGAAGTGCCCACACTTTACACGTCCAGCAGGATTGGGAGCAGACACGGCTTCTCCACATTTTCCCAGCATTTGTCGCCTGCCTTTTAAAATCACCACCACCCAGGTGCTCATGACGTAGAACCTCTTTGTGATTTTTATTTGCATTTTTCCAAGGACTGAGCCTGGGCGTCCTCCCCTGAGCTCACTGGCCACTGCTGTACCTTCTTTGGAGAAATATCTATTCATATCCTCTGCCGTTTAAAATGAGGTTTTTCCTTGATATTAAATTGAAGTGATCTTTGTATAGTCTAAGTGTTAAGTTCCTTGTCAGATACACAGTTGCAAATATCACAACAGTCAATACGTTAGTGGGTCTATAGTTTTTTACTTAATCAAAACTATTTTATCACACTTAATAAAAGAAATATTATCTAATGTTTAGTCCATATCAACAAAAAGAAAATACCAGAATTAAACCAAACAGAAATTTTGAAGCTGAAAAATACAAGATTTCAATCAAAAAAATTCACTAGAGAAGTTCAACAGATTTGATGAGATGGAAAACGAATCAGGAAACTTTAAGACAGATCAGTTGAAATTATCCAGTCAGGGAAGAAAAAAAGAAA